TCCAGATTGGGTACATTTTGAGCAGCTATTTCTGTGGATTTCAGACTCCAGTTTCCTCAGACTTTGGACTCTAGGACTTGTACCAACAGAACTCTGGGGTCCTCAGTCTTTTGGCCTTGAATAGGAAGCCTTCCTAATTCTGAGCCTTCCAGCTTCTTGGACCAAGCAATACTATCAGCTTGCAGATGGCCATCATGGAACTTTTCTCCTCTGTGGGCATATGAGCCAATTTAATAAAGCCTTTCATAAATTATATTATCCCCTTATATATTACATTAGTTCTGTTTCCCTGGAGAACCCTGACAAATATAGCTACTTACAAGCTAACTCTCTCATAGAGAACAATAAATTCTGATAAAATGCAAAAAACAACTGAGAGTTCTGGAAAATAAACAAAAGAAAATAGAGTTGAAACCTGAACAAAATTACTGACAGAGGGTGGGTTTCCCATTTTGTATGGCTTTGTCTTGAGGGCAGCCACAATCTCAGAGTAGCATATAACAACTATGACTACAATAGAAAGTCTAGTTTCTTTCCAGATGGAAGAAACAGAAGAAGGATCCAAGGTAACCAGAGCCACCAGAGAGAAGGGGGAAATCCCAAAGGACAGAGCTAGGGAACAGAAACTCCAGATTCTTTATATAACCCTTTTCTAAATCTCTGACATGTATGCAGCAAACTGAAATCAGTTTTCTAACCTGAGATGTGACCTATGTTGCCAATCACAGGCAAGGAAGAGTTTTCAGTTTGGATCTAACCAAGTTAACTGCCTGATAAAGCTAAAACATCAGCCTTAATTTGGAGGACTATAAGAGAATCCAGAGGCTGTATGACATATCACAATGATCAGATTCAATCTATAATTACTTGACATGAAGAATCAGGAAAATGCAATTCATTTTTAAGAGAAAAGATGATCAACAAAAACTAATCCCCAAAAGAACCAGATGTTGAAATTATCAGACAAGAACTTTCAGGTATAAATATGCTAAATGAAAAAAAATAAAAATATATTCATAACCAAGAAAAAATTAGGAGTGAAAAATTAAAATCTGAAATAAAACTCACTGTATGGAATTACTTAAATGCAGACAACAGAGGAAAGAGATTGTGAATTTAAAGATAGATAATTAAAATTATCTGCTCTGAAAAAAATAGAAGAAAAATTGGAAACAAAAACCTAATGTGTCACAAATTTGTATGACAATATCAAAAGATGCAGCCTAAGAGTTGGAATCTCAGAAAGAGGGGGAAAAAATGAATGGGGAAACAAAACTATCTAAAGAAATAATGATAAATTTGGTGATAGAATATAAATTATATTTTTCTCATCTATAAAATTATCTGAGCTTATGGGGCTGAGGCTGTGGCTTAGCACACTTGTCTGGCATGTGTGAGGCACTGGGTTCAATTCTCAGCACCATGTATAAATAAATAAAATAGAGATCTATCAACAACTAAAAAATATTTTTTAAAAAATTATCTGAGCTTAAACTTAATTTATTATATTATTTGGATTTAGTTTATTGGTTTTTAATTTTTATTTAAATCAATTAGCTTAATGGCTTACTATATTTTTCTTTTTCAATGATTTGTTCACTTTCATTTTTCTAGAAATTTTCTATTTCATCTAACATTTCAAATTAGTTTTTTTAAAATATTTGTTTTAGTTGTAAGGGTACACAATAAACTTTATATTTTTTTTTATGTGGTGCCTAGGATTGAACCCAGAGCCTCACGTGTGTTAGGCAAGAGCTTTTCTACTGAGCCACAATCCCAGCCCCTCAAATTAGTTTTAATTATCCCTAGTGATATTAAAAGTTCCAATTTCACCTCTCATGATGTCCCATTTTCCTTTTGTAATATTGAGTGTGCCCTTATTCTATCTGTTGATTAGTCTTACTAGAAGTGATCTGGTTCTTTTTTTTTTTTTTCAAAGAAAAGGGGGGTTTTTTTGTTTTTTTTGTTTTTTTAGAGAGAGAGATAATTTTTTTAATATTTATTTTTCAGTTTTTGGTGGACACAACATCTTTATTTTATGTGGTGCTGAGGATCGAACCCAATGCCCTGCGCATGCCAGGCAAGCGCCTTACCACTTAAGCCACATCCTCAGCTCAAGTTTTTGTTTTCTTGATCTCTATTGTTTCTTTCCTTATTTTTATTCATTCATAATTTTTATTATTTTTTCTTTTCTATTTCTTTAATTAGACTTACTCTATTACTCTTATTCCAGATTCTTTGGCCAATACTTATTTATTTTTAATACTTTTAAATACATGTATTAAACCATAAATTTACTCCTCCCCCCTAAAAGGTGCATTAGCTTGATCCCAGAAATACTGAATATGGATTACAGCAAACGAAATAACTACCAACAAAGAGAATCCAAGACACAATAGATTAAATAAGACACTTGTTCTGGTTTGAATCTGTAATGTTCCCCAAAGTTTCATATGTTGAAGCCTCGGTCCACAATGCAGCAATGTTCAGAGGTAGGGCTTTGGGGAAATGATTGGATCATGAGGAGCATCAGTGGATTAATCCATTGATAATGAACGGACTACTGGGAGGTGGTAGAAACTATGGGTGGTGGGGCATGATTGGAGACAGATGGTCACTGGGGATGTGTCCTGAAAGGTTATTTCTTATCCCCAGCCTCATCTTTTCTCTGCTTCACAGCTGTCATGAGCTGCATAGCCTTCCACTGCCATGATGTTCTTGCTTGCTTCAGGTCCAAAGCAATGGAGCCAGACAGCCATGGACCAAAACCTCTAAAATCATGAGTCAAAATAAATCTTTCCTCCTTTAAGTTGTTTATGTCAACTATTTGGGTCAGAGAAATGAAAAACTGACTAACACAATACTTTATTTACTTCTTACCTAAGAAGCAGAGTAGGCATTTCAAGTTCACAGATTCTCTGGGTCCTAAGCTGTCATCCTCAATGTCTCTCAAGGTCACTTTAGTTTCCATCAGTCCTACAAACAGAAAGGTAAAGAGTTTGCAGTAAGATGTGTATAAAGTTTTATATGCCAGGCCTGGAAACAAGAGTATCACTTATAGTCATATTCTTTTGATGTGAATCTTCAGTCATATGGCCACACTTAACAACAAAGTGGGCTGAAAATTCAGTCCTTGGTGAAGAAACCCCGGTATATCCCGGTTACAATAAAAGGAGAGATTGTGTAATAGTCCCAGCCACATGTATTTTCACTGATGTTCACATTTATAATTCTACTGGAATTTCATCATTATCTTGTGAATTATGGGAAAGTGCATTAATTTTTTTCAACGGTGTTTTGAGTTTTTTTTAACTATTGTTGATTTGTAACTTAATTACACTGTTAATTGTCTACATAATGTTGATTATCTGAAATTTCTGTACTAGTATGTCATCAATTGTCACAAACACTCCACATGTACTTAAAAAGAATACATAGGAAGCTGGTGATTTGCTCAGTAGTTGAGCATTTACCTAGCATGCATGAGATCCTAGGTTCAATTTGCAGTACAAAAAAAGAAAACAAGCAGGATGCGGTGGCACATGGCTGAAATCCCAGTGTCTTGGGAGGCAAGTTCAAAGCCAGCCTTGGCAAAAGTGAGGCACTAAGCACTCAGTGAGACCCTGTCTCTAAATAAAATACAAAACAGGGCTGCAGATGTGGTTCAGTGATCAAGTACCCTGAGTTCAATACCTGATAGGAAGGAAGGAAGGAAGGAAGGGAGGGAGGGAGGGAGGGAGGGAGGGAGAAACATAGCCTTTTTGTTTGTTGTATATAGAAATCTATAATATCCATAGATTAAACTTGTTAATTTCTTTAATATGTTTACAAAGTTTTACCTTGGTTCACAGTATGCCTGTTCTCATTACATTGGTAAAATTATGTCACACTGTCTATAATAAAGTCAATTGGACAAGGAATTACACTCCGCATTCATAAAAAATATACTCAATTTTATTTGGTTAGAGAAATGAGAAAAGGTTCCATTTGTCAGTTTTGCAATCATAGATTCTCTGGATTGTTTTCCTTTCATTCCTCCTTCCAAAAATGTCATTTCCCCTTGCATTTTATCAAATGCAGCTAATAACAACCAATTCAAGACAGAAACATATTGTCATAAATCTCCTTGCACAAAATGCAAGTTCATTTGGGACATTTTCTGCCTTCTAAGTTATGGCAGGTAGTAATTCACAAGTAATATTTTTCCCAATGGTTTACCACTATAAGACATGTCCATTTTCACAGGTTCCAAAAATAGTTTTCTACCACCTGCAGCTTGTATTCAAAAGCAATGCCACATATTTTAGTTTTTTATTACAGAAACATACAACTTCTAGAATCCTATTTATGTATTAGTGTCATGGGTTGCATTGTCCCTCCACCAGAAAGATATGTTGAAGTGTTAACTCCCAGTAAATCAGAGTGACCTTATGTAAAATAGGGTCACTAGAGAATTAGTCTATGGAATTAGTTAAAATGATATCATAGTAGAGTAGGATGTGTCCCTAATTTCAGAAGATATGAAAACATCAGAAAATATGAAGATGGTGACACTTAGAGAAAATGTCATGTATAACAAAGGTGGAGACTAGAGTTACACCACTCCAAGCCAGGGAATGCTAAATATTTCTAGTAAACTAGCAGAAGTTAGTAAGAGGCAAGGAAAATTTTCTACAGTGCCCAGGTGAACACGGTCACAGCTAACGTAAATTTCAGACATCTGGCCACCAGAACTGTGAGACAATGAATTTCTGTTGTATTAAGCCATGCAGTTTGTAGTACTAACAATAGCCCTACAAGACTAAATACAATTTACATACATGTGTTGCCATAAAGCTGACTTTTAAAGAAAGTAACTCCAAACTCAGTGGCTTATTTCTTTGTTTGTGCTCACAGATTTGTTATGTTAGCTATGACTCTGCTGAGCTTGCTTGGGCTCAGCTTTAGACTTTAGAGCCTGAACTAATCTTCCCTACATGTCTTCATGTTCTGGCTTCCAGGCTGAATGAACAGCTTCATCTGGAACCTGCATGGTGTTTTCATAACAGACAGTGAAAGCATACAAGATCAAGACAAGTCACACACATTTAAAGCTTCTGCTCACATGTGGCATGAGATACATTCCCCTACATGCCTTTGGCAAACCCCGATATGCCTTTGGCAAAGAAAGAAACATAGGCTTCAAGTTCATGGGGAAGGGAAGTACTGGCCGAAAGGTGACTACAGGAAGGTAAGAAGGTAATTAACAGCTAATAAATATTTTGTTATATCTACTTCATTTATATTTATTGAGATTACTCATGTGCTTTTAACTATTTATATCATCTAATTTTTATTTTTATCATCCTTTTATTTTTTATCCTTCTTTCATGCCTTCTTGAGATTTATATGGTTTCTATATCCTTCCCTGCTTTTTCCTCTCTGCTAATTTAGAAGCTATTGATAGTATGTCCATTTATTTAGCACTTAAATGTTAACATATAATATACTTAAATACTAACATATAATAGATAAATGTTAATTTATAACATACTTAAATTTTAACATAATAAATATTAGAAAAATATATAAAATATATTAAAATGTCATAGAAATATAAAAATATGTATAATATATGTAATCATATAATTTTTCTAATATACAGAAAATATCTAAATAAATTCAACATATCTAGGTTCCTTCAACAATATGAACCTTGGCATGGTTTATTCTACATTTTCACTCTGAGCTCATCTTTCTTCTTGCCAAGAGTATACTCTTTTATAAATAGTTCTAGAGTTTGTAGATGATAAGTGATCTTCCCATTTGTGTCTCTGAAAAGTATTAAGTATTGTCATAAATCCTGAGTGACAGCATAAAATTAAAGATAAAATTCTAGATTGAGAGTTTTTTACCTCAGCATTTTAAAAAGATACCATTTCACTGTCTTATAGCATTTATTATTGCTGTGGGAAGGCTTATATTAGTCTAAAATTAATAATATTATTTTTCTTAGTTAACATTTTTCAATTTTACCATGCTGAACCTATTTGATGGATAAACTGTGAGCCAAATAACTGATCATAAGACCATGTTGAAGAATCCTTGTTCATATCAACTGATATTCTATCCAAGCCATTCTCTCTTTTCTAATCAGAAGTCACCTTCCTACATAGGCATGCAATAATCAGAGAGAGAAATTCCTGATATAAGGTTGAAGGTTATAATTCTGGGGATGGGAAGACAGAAGAGAGATGACAGAGGATGGAAAAGAGTCTTCAGAAAACACAAAGCTCATTAAGCAATATTTATTTCTTCCAGGAACACTGATTCTGAGATTCCAGGAGACATATGATGTCTGTGTTTTAGTCAGCATTTTTGCTGCTACAACCAAAAAACCCAACAAGAACAATTTTAGAGAAGGAAAAGTTCATCATGGGGCTCATGGTTTCAGAGGTCTCAGTCCACAGCCAGCCAGCTCCATTGCTCTGGGTCAAAGGTATGGAAGAACATTATGGCAGAAGAGTACAGTGGAGAAAGGCTGCTCAGGACATGGCACCAGGAAACAGAGAGAGCGAGCTTCATTCAATCAGGATAAAATACATACCCCAAAAAGTATCCTCCCAGGAACCCACCTCCTCCAGCCACACCCTACCTGCCTACAGTTACCACCCAGTTAATCTATTCATCTGAATGATAACAATCTTCTTTCTAGCTGTTAAATTCATTATGGAAAGTATGCTATTTTGGAAGTGTGCTATTCATTATGGAAAGTTTCTAACTATTGTTATTAAATAGTTTATTTCTCTTCTTAATTTTGCTTTATTATGTGAGACTTTGTACTGAGAACATATGCTTTTAATTTTTTTAATATTTTTTATTTGTAGTTATAGATGGACACATATCTTTATTTTATTTTTATGTGGTGCTAAGGATCGAACTCAGTGCCTCATGCATGCTAGGCGAGTGCTCTACCTCTGAGCCACAATCTAGCCCTGCTTTTTTAAATTTCTTGATATAACATCATTACATTCATTGTTATCATTGCATAATGGTCTTTTCCTCTTGTAACAATGTTTAAGTCTATTTTGCTTGATATTTATGCAACCAGTCATCTCTCTTTTAGTTACTGTTTATATAAAATATCTTTTCCCATCCATTCACTTTTAACTTATGTTTTTTAATCTAAAGTGAGTCTCTTATAGACAATATATTGTTGGATCATGTTGTTTGCTTTACTCATTCTGAAAATTTCTCACTTTAAATTGGAGAGTTGACTCCAGTTACAGTTAATGCAAATGCTAATAAAGAAGGACTTCTGTCATCTTGCTATTTGCTTCTTGTGTCTTATTTCTTTTTTTCCTCTATCTCTACTACTAATTTCTTTTGTGTTAAATATTTTCTATCATATTATTTTGTTCCCTCCCCCTTTAATTTTATAAAATATATCTTAGTTACTTTCTTAAGAATTAACCTTGATATTACAACTTCTTAATTTATAATAATCTAGTTTAAATTACTACCAACTTAGTTCAATGATGTATGAAACTGCTCCTAGGTGGTCTCATTCTTCCCCTTTTATGTTGTTACTGTCACATGTCTTTATACATTGTGTATACATCAACATAGATTTATAATTATTTTATTTATACTGGTATCTTTTAAATCACTCAGAAAAATGAGGAGTTTGAAAAAAAAAGTACTTTCATAAGTATTTTTTATTTCTTTGTGTGGATTCAAGTTACTATTTAGTATCCTTTCATTTCAGCCTGCAAGGCTCTTTATATCATTTCTTATAAGGCATGTTACTACTGATGAACTCTCTCCATTTTAATCTAGGAATGTTTTAAACTCCCCTTAACTTTTTTATTTATTTGTGTGTGTGTGTGTGTGCTGTTGTTGTTGTTCTTGGATTTTGGTTCAGTGTCCCTCTACCACTGAACTATATCTCAGTAGTTTTTTAATCTTGAGATAGAGTCTTATTAAATTGCTGAGGCTGGCCTTGAACTTCTGATCCTTCTGGCTCAGCCTTTCCAGTCACTAGGATTACAGGTATGCCCCTCTACACCCAGATTCCCCTTAACTTTTAAGGGACAATTTTTCCAGATATAGAATTCTTGGAAAACAGTTTTTTGTTACTATACTTTGTATATGTCATCCCAGTACTTTCTGGCTGTCATGATTTCTTTAAAAAAAAATGAGCTGTTAATCTCATTGAGTGTCCCTTGTACTTGATAAATCACCTTGCTCTTGCTACTTTCAAGATTCTCTGTTTTTGTCTTTCAATAGCTTGATTTTTATATGCCTCAGTTCCTTTTAACTTATTCTTGTCTGAAATTTTTTGAGCTTCTTAGATGAGCAGATTTGTATCTTTTGTCAAATTTGAGATGTTTTCAACCATTATTTCTCTAAATATTCTTCATCTTTCTTTCTTTCTTCCTGGGATTCTAATTATGCCTATGTTGGTATGCCTGGTGGTTTCACAGATTTTTTTAGTCTCTGTTCATTTTTCTTCATTCTTTTTTCCTTTCTACCCCTCAAACTAAATAATCTTAATTGACCTACCTTAAGGTTCACCTTCCTTTTGCCAGACCAAATCTGATATTTAACACTTCAACAGTGAATTTTTCATCTCTGTTATCAAGACTCTATTTGACTCCTTTCTCAATTTATGTATCTTTGTTGATATTCACTATTTGGTAGGACATCATTCTTAACAGTTTGTTTTAGTTCTTTGTAAGTGGTTTGCTTTAGCTATCTGAGAACCTTTTTAAAAAATATTTAAAGTCTTTGTCTAGAACATCCACTACATGGGCTTCCTCATGAGTAATTTCTGTTAACTTCTTTTTTTCCTGTGCATGGGCCATAATTTCTTATTTCTTTACTTATTGAAAATTAAATGGTTTTCCTACTATAATGTGACAACTCTAGAAATCAGATTCTTCCATCTGGTTGGGGATCATTTGTTGTTTCTTATTGTAGTTGTTTCCATTTCTTTAGTGACTTTTCTGAACAAATTTTAGAAGGTCTGTTATTGATTTTCATGTGTAGGTACTAATGTCTATGTTCCATTAGTTTGGTGGTCAACTAATGATTGAATAGATGTATCCTTAAGTTTAAAGAACAAAAGCAAATAAACAAAACCTCCCACCTTTGAAAATGAACTTTGTGTATTTTGAGCATACCTTCACTCAACAACTCTGTTTAAAACTCTGCACTAGCCCTTACTTCCTGATTATGTGAAACCCGAAAATCAGTCAGGGGAGAAAGCTTAGGATCTCCTAAGGTTTTTTCCAAATATATACTGTGTCCAAGGAAAAAACTTGGGCCTTTTAGATTCCCAGAAATATGTGGGACCTTTACACAGCTCTTATTCCCCACAACATCTTTTTCTTTTTCTGTTTTAAACAGGGTTTTATTTTTTTTAATTTATTTATTCTAATTCATTATACATGATAGCAGAATGCATTTCAATTCATAGTATACATATAGAACACAATTTTTCATGTTTCTTGTTGTACACAAAGTAGAGTTGCACCATTTTGTGTCTTCATATGTGTACTTAGGTCAATGATGTCCATCACATTCCATCATCTTTCTTACTTCCATGCCCCTCCCTTAGCTTCCCTCCCCTTTGCCCTATCTAAAGTTCCTCCATTCCTCCCATGCTCCCCCCACCATCCCTATATTATGGATCAGTACCCACATATCAGAGAAAACACTCAGTATTTGTTTTTTTAGGAATGGCTTACTTCACTTCGCATGATTATTGTCAAACTCCATCCATTTACCTGCAAATGTCATGATTTCTATTTCAATGCTCAATAACATTCCATTGTATATATATACCACATTTTCTTTATTCATTCATTTACTGAAGGGCATCTAGATTGGTTCCACAATTTAGCTATTATGAATTGTGCTGCTAAAAATATTGATGTAGCTGCATCATTGTAGTATGCTGTTTTCAAGTCCTTTGGGTATAAACCAAGGAATAGGATAGCTGGGTCAAATGATGGTTCCATTCCAAGTTTTCCAAGGAATCTCCATACTGATTTCCATATTGGTGATACCAATTTGCAGTCACAACATCTTGTTCCTTAGTCTTTCTGTGCTTTTTGGATGCTTTCTTGTTTGTCTCAACTGTTATGTCTTGCCCCAAGCAGCAGTAATAAAATTGCTTCTAAATGATTTCAACAAACACCTCCATTCTGAGAAAGTTCTGAGTTAGATAAAAGAAGGGAAAACACTATAATTTATTATTTCATGTAGCCACCTAAGCAAAACCACAGTTCTTTGAGAATAATATCCATTATTCTCCCTCTGGTACTAGGTACCTATACTGGAAAATGAATTATTATCTTTAAAGCTGCCACCAAGCTGGCACTGTGGTGCATGCTTCTAATCCCAGAGACTTTCAAGGCTGAGGCAGGTGAATCACAAGTTCAAGACCAGCCTCCATAGTTTAGTATGATGCTGTCTCAAATAAAAAGGGCTGTAGCTATTTCTCAGTGGTAAAGAACCCCTATGCCCCAGAACCAAATCCCCAATATCAAAATCAATCAATAAAACCATTCAGGCATGATGGCACACATCTATAATCTCAGCAGCTCTGGATGCTGAGGCAGAAGAAGGTTAAAACCCAGCCTCACTAACTTAGCAAGGCTCTAAGCAATTTAGAGAGACCCTGTCTCAAAATAAAAAATTTAAATAGGGCTGGGGATATGGCTCAATGATTAAGTGCCCTCGGGTTCAATCCCTAGTACCAAAAACAAACCTGCCAACAAGATAGGAAACTGGGTAAGGGAAATGTAGTGTAAGTTAAAGTGCCAGAGATTTAGAGATTTAGTAGTAATAGTTGTAGTAGTAATTACTCCCCTGGTAAGTAACAAGATTTCAATTAGTTTCAAAGGTTAAAAAAAATTGATCTTGACATATTTTGTTTATTCTTCACTGTTTTTTGTGGAGAAATGGACTTTAGGAGTTCACTGCCCTACAAATACAGCTTTTGCTTATGTTACTCAATATTGATTGATATTTAATGTTAAACCAACCTTGTATTCCTAAAAGGAAAACCCATTTTGTTGTGATGAATTATTCCTTTTACAAATTATTGAATCTAATTTGATCTTTTTAAAATGTTTGAATCTGTCTATCTATGAGGAGTGTTGACCTATGAGTTTTCTCTCTTGAGACATTTTGTGGTTTGGCATCAGAATAGCAGCCAAATATAAGGAGTTAGAAAATATTACCATCCTCTTCAGTTTATTGGAAGAATGTGTATCAAATTGGTATTATCTCCTTCTTAAATGTTTGATATAATTTTCCAATGAATCCATCTAGCCCTGGAGCTTTCTTTGTGGGAAGATTTT